ACGTCATAACCGGATAGTAAAGTATGTGCACTTCGAAATGTGTAGAGCACGAGATCTACCTACTGGTGCTTCACGATTCGACCACCAGCTCATGGCATTGGTCAAAAGTGATCGGTGTCGGCTCTATTGGGAGTATTCGGTCTCAACTGACCTGAAACTATCAGCAAACAGGCCCGATCTGCTCCTTGTTGATGACAAGGAGCGCATCGCATACATTATAGACATCAGCGTTCCTGGTGAGAACAACATCAATAAGAAAATGGCTGAAAAGCGCTCGAAATATTATGACTTGAAGCGGGAGATTTCCAGAATTTGGTCCCTCACCCAGTTTGACGTGGTCCCTGTGGTTGCCGGTGCCCTGGGAGGCTTGGTGGGGGAGACTCATCAATGCCTTCGGACTGTGCAGGGAGGAGACCTGGCTATTGTGCAACAGGAGGCTATCCAAGGTTCGGTTAAAATAATACGAACTGTCCTTAACATGTAGATGCACATCTACTGCGTTTTCATGTTCAATAGCCAAGAGACTTGAATAACGACTGATAAAGATATTTCCTTTGTAATCCCATAACAACATCAACGTCCTTATCATTTGTACAATACCTGTCTTTGTACAATACCTGTCGTTGCAAATTCTTTATTATAACATGTGGAATGCCATGAATGTTTTTCTCGCAGATGTACCCTGGTCTCAGGTCCTTGCCTCCCACTGCATCGACACGGCTGTCTCCGCATTCACTGACATCCTTGAAGGTGCCTTGGACCTATATATAGGAAGATCATCACCTCCTCGTCGGAAATCACGCCACAAATCATGCCCCTGGATGACTCCATCACTGAAAGCAGCTATTAAAGTCAAGAGCGATCTCTACAGCATCTACCGGAAATACCCATCCCCTACTAATTTCAACAAATACAAACACCAACGTAACTATGTAAAATGCCTTTCCAGATCCTGCCATCGCTGCTACATCCGCAACCTCCGTGCCACGATATCTCCCACAAACACTCGCCTCCCATCCCTCCCTGTGCTCATTCGTCAACTGCGAAATCCTACCAGCGCCCGGGTCATACCTTCGAAGATGGTGGGCCCCAATGGTCGAACAAGCACCTCTCCGGCATCCATTGGTAACTTATTGAACCACCACTTCGTCAGTTCTGGCTTACAAAGTTACAGGTTGACCCCGATGCTTCTATAGACCCTTTGCATATGCGGCCAAAAAGGCTGCGTTTTGTACGTCACGCATCATACCCATGACTCACCATTGTCACGTGCACGGTGTTTCTTCAAAATGGGACATGCCGTGAAGGAGATTGTATGTTTGGCAATTGAGAATGCTACTTTGACGTCCATATTTCCACTTTCATCGTGCTCTACCACTGGTCTGTATTGATTGTTATGATGGACACGGAGCCTGTAGTCTCATCTGACCCACTGCAGCCAGTAGTTACCCCCAAGTTATCTGTGTATGCCGAGAAATTGGATTCCATTGGGAAGAAACGATATGAAGAGAAATTGTCTTTGCTTTCTGGATTCGACCCAATGCTGGGCATTCCTCGTGGTGCGAAACCTGTTGAGCCGTGTGTGGAAATGTCTGACCTTATGTCCTACTTGGTCCATGAAACGAGTTTCTGCTCCAAAAAGCCGTTTAAGTTACGGCCTGTTGAAGTCTCACAGTCGAATGTGTAGAATTCTACACATTCAAGTATGGGTCGGCTCTCAAAGGGTTTAAAAAGCAAAGAAGGGCCTTGATGCATATAACCAGTTCGTATCAGGCTGGGTGAAGGCTGGGTGAAGTCGTTCGAGTGCTGCGGGAAACATGTCACTGTAGCACGGGTAAGAGCTTTGCTCATCACAATAAATAATCACTCTTCATCGGTAACACTAGTATGGCAGAACTGACAAAACTGATTCTGCTGAGTTGGCTATTTACTCCTGATTAGTATGTGTGTATGAAAGTGGTTCAAATTTTGAACTTATAGGGGAATAATTGATAAACAAATTTTAGCACATGCACTAGATGCGCCACTTACTGTGCCATGAGATTGTGACTTGACGTAGTACTTACTATACCCTTCTTGCGGACATGTCCAGGGCTATATTTCTCAGTATGCATATGTACAAATTGTTCCAAATTGTTGGTGAGTGATGAACGTGCATTCCATGTGTTCCATGTGCTCCATGTCTCTCACAGGTCCGTCACTCACAAAGGTTCAGCGAAACACCACTACACTGTTGGCTTATCACAGGCCCCGATGGTGTTGTCTGCTGTGCGCACTGCAACTGTATGGCAGGCTTGGGAGAAACGTGCACACATGTTGCTGCTACTCTGTTTTTCCTGGAGGCTGTTCATATCGGCATAAGGAACCCGCCGCGACCGTAACTGGAGTACCATGCCAGTGGAAGGTCCCAACCTTTCAGAAGGAAATGGAGTATGCCAGGGTAGCAGACATTGATTTCTCGTCGCCTCAGCAGAGGCAGGAAGCACTTGATCGAGATGTGTCACCCCCCCCCCAAGCCCAAAGCGGCTCTGTGTGAAGCTACCCTCAGACGACGAGAAGCAGTGCTTCTATAAGACCCTTGCGTCCCTGAAAACGAAGCCCGCCGTCCTGTCCGTCATCAAGCCTTTCCTATCAGGGAATGCACCAGCATCAACTTCACCCACCCTCCCGAAGCCACTGAATAGCCTTTATCAAGAGGAATGCCTCGCTATGAGCCATGAGCAGCTTCTTGATGTGTGTGCACAGAGTAATGTGGACAGAAGTGGCAGCTGTTGAGATTGCTACAAGGATGCAGTCTGGCAGCAGAGTGTGGTTTGAACAAAGAGCCGGCAGTGTGACGGCTTCCCGAATGTATGATATATGTCACACATCTGCGCAGTCTCCATCCAGGAGCCTCATCCAGGCTATATGCTACCCTGATCACCTGCCAAAGGGTGCTCCCTCCACACGGTGGGGACAAGAACACGAAGGCCCTGCACGGGAGCGGTACACTGCTATGATATCTGCCAATCACATGAATTTCGAGGTGTCTGATTCTGGTTTAGTCATCAGCAAGGAGCTGCCATTCATCGCTGCCTCACCGGATGGCATTGTCCAATGTGATTGTTGTGGATCCGGTCTGGTGGAGGTGAAGTGCCCTTATACTCATCGGGGGACTCCATTGGATTCGGCTTCCCAGGACAAGCAGTTTTGCCTGGAAATGGTTGGGAGCAAGTTACAGCTCAAGCGGACTCACGCTTATCATTTGCAAATCCAGAACCAGCTGTATGTTACGGGAGCAGATTTCTGTGATTTGTGTTTGTGCCTCTTCTGTGAGGATGGCAAGAATGATTTACATGTTGAACGCATCTACCCGGACTGTGATGCCTGGAAGGACTTCATTACAAAGGCGAAGAAGTTCTTCTTTGGGTGCATCTTGCCAGAGCTCGTTGGGAAATGGTATACGTCCAAGGGTGCTCGTCTTAGTATTGGCACTACCATGGGCCCTCAACAACCACCACCCATGTTGTCGCCTGCAAGAGAAGCCACATCTTCCTCGACTGTCCAAATGACGACGCAAAGCCTCTCTCTTCAGTCAACTGCGAGCATCGCCCAAGTCCAGTATCCGATGGCGTCGAGTCTGGCACTTCATTCGCCGTCAATGGTGAAGGCCTGCTGCAAGAGTGGATGCTCCTATTCTTTAGATCTTCGTCCTTGCCGCTGTGGTCACCACTTTCATCGTATATGTACGACTGATGAGGATGGAAAGCTGTGTGCTTGCTGTTATACACCGTACCCCTTTTTATAGTCATTGACGTATTCGTCATTTTGTGTTATTTATGGTGGTAGTGCCACTCATTAACCACTATAGTTTCCCTTGCCACTGGAAATTACCTTAGCATATATAGCTCGCGCGCGCGTGTGTGTGTGTGTGTGTGTGTGTGTGTGTGTGTGTGTGTGCGCGCGTGCGCGTGTGTGTGTGTGTGTGTGCACATGTTTGTGTGTGTGTGCGTGCGTGTGTGTCTGTACGCACAATGAACGAACAGCTTTTCGCTATCATTGCTGTTGCAATGGGCAAGTAACGGGTGTGTGTGTGTGTGTGTGTGTATGTGTTTATGAAGAAGGATTCCGGTTGTATACCCCAGTGACACAGTACTCTCTTGGCTGCCTGGCCCCTAACTACTGTACTGCGGGCATGACCATTACAAGTTAGTCTAGTAGGATGTTTTTGTTTATAACTTGAGAATGTGGAGAGCATGAACGCAAATGTTTTCTGATTTTCTGAATTTCATTGCTAAATTTGATTTCTTCTTTGCCTGCCTAACGTACGAGTAGTAGTTTTGTACAAGTATCTCTCCACATCTGCTAATATTAGCCCGTAAAAGGGGCATCCTTTCTTGGCTGCTCCCTAGTCCGATACAATACCACTACCTCACAAAGCATTGTGTTTGCTTGTCTCAACCATGCAGGGAGTGAAAATATATCCCATGCTCTGCTTGCTGTATGTGGAAGTCAAACGAGAAGTAGGTATTGCTGCATGCTAAGAAGCCCCTGGTGTATTGTCACAAGCTAACATTACAGCGGATATAGGGACAAGATTTTGAGGCCCGGAGGCATGTCCTTGTAACCAATGTTGTCTGTACATGTATGTGGGACACAAGACGAGTAAATCGTTATAATTTTATTCAAACTGTATCTACGGGACTGCATGGCAGCTCTCAGAATGTGGGATATGATCAGAAGATACAAGCAACAGAGGAAAAAGCCCACAGCCAACATGTTCGGTGTCTCCGTCGTCACCGTGAACAAATCAAGTGAAGCGAAAAAAGATCATGACATGGCAGTGTCATTACAATGAAGGTAACTTGCAAATCTGGAAACTGTAAAAAGGACAACTGTGATTTCAGCAACAACAAAACACACACACACACTCTACAGCCATCACGTTCGGGCTCTCCACCGTCTCCGTGGACAAGTCAAGTGAAGTCGAAACGGGTCATCGGCGCAGGCAACAGGTGTAGTCACTCGAAAGGCACAACCGAATCACAGAGATTGGTCAGGGCACAACATACAGGAATGATACGGCAAATCAAAGGTCGGTCATCTCCAGAGCGACTACGCAGGAAATCAATCGGCAGTATTCCTCGCAAAATAGAATATTTCTTGCGGAGATTCCCAATAACTCGTTCGACGTGGATGCGCACGTTTGCGATGCTGCGGGTGGTATGCACATCATCGGCCGACAGTTGCTTCTTACCCCTTGTGAACGCTGGGATGTGGAGCTTGGCTCCCTGCACGGCAACTAGCTCCTGGATGTCAAAGCCACGGTCTGCAAGGACAATGTCTCCAGGTAAAAGGTTTGACAATAACTGAGAGTGCTGGGTTAGATACTTGTCACTGACGCGCCCGCCGCACGGCTCGGAGATGAAGGAGATGACACCTTGCGGAGTGATCCCAATCAGCACTTTAATCGTGTTGTGTGGTTTGTAGTTCGACCATGTCTGGGCACGGGTGTACAAGTTTGAAGGCCTGTCTATGAACACTTCGAAGCAGTCGATGATTGATGACACTTTCACGCCAAACGCCTCCCTGAAACAAACTGGTGTTGTCGCTTGTAGCTCCTCCCTCCCTGGCCAGACAACCAAATGTGATAGTCGACGGTCCATGGCTGTATACCATTTGGTAAGAATGCGGGAAATGGTGCCAGCCGATACACCCATCCGATGGCCCAGGTCTTGTAATGATGAGTCCAACCGTAACTTCACAAGGGCAACAACCATCTCTTGAAACGGGGACAAGGCACAGCCAAATGAGTCTGGCATTCCCTCACGCACATGCTCGTACACAGCCAGTAACATCTCGAAGGTTGGCAAACCCGTAAAGAACCGCACATCGCCATCATTTTGCAACTTGGCTTGCGTGAACTGGCCAATTTGCCTTCAAGCACCTTGTATTCCGCTGTCAGCTTGGTCAGCCTATCTTGCAAGCCCTTGTTCTCTGTAGATAGCCTGGCCAGCTGCACCTGGACGTCCAAGTTGTTGGAGTTAGCCGTTGGAGCATGGAGGGAAGAAGGTGAGAAGGTGGCTTCCGTTAGGGATTGAAAGGCAAATGTTATATCATCACCAGATAACAACGTCCCCACGCATTTGTCATTGGTGTCCTTACTGCCTTCTTCAGAAAAGTCTAGCTCTTGAACCAGTTGGCCAGGTGGAAAATTGGATAAATCCATGCTCTCCTCCACAAGGACGTCACTCTCATCATCAACATCATGTGGCGGTGACAGATCTAAAGCAGCAGGCCCAGCATCAGGTGATGGTGGTGGTTGTGACGAGGCAACGCCAACATCACACAGATGTGGCGGATCATTGACATCCAATGAAGCTGCAGCCTCTGAATGGGCCTCCTCCACTCTCTGTCTGGCTTTGCGACGGGCATAACGCTCCACTACCTGCTCCTCACTCGCCTTCCTTTTGCCAGGACCAGGCAAATTCTTCGAAGGAACCCAATCTGGGTTTGTTTTGTCCCAGGGTTCAGAAGGGCGGCCGGAAATGAAATGATCGCTGCAAACACGAGCATCATCCAATGTCTTCCCAACTAGGTCTGCTCTGGCTATCGCTGCAATCCACAGCCGTCGCCTCTCCTTGACCAGTTCGATGTCAGCACTTTTCGTTTTCGAGTTCACATTGGGAAGAGAAAACCTCTTGATTTTATCTCGACCCGTCCGCTTCGTACAGCGGGCAATAGAACATAATACCCATCACCACAATGGACACAGACTACAGAAATGCAAAAAGCGGACTGCTTGGCAAGGAACAAGCGCAAGAAGGGGAAGAAAACTCTAATACAGTTTTTTTTTCTCGATTATATTGTTTTCAATTATTTGAAAACAATATAATCGAGGATAGGACATGTCACAAGTTGCTTCCAACCTAGCACGTGTCCCTGACGTCATGATAATGATGACATAATGCGTACGCTGTGCAAAGGGTCTATTCCCACCATTTCCTCCCTACCTCCACAAGCAACTACATTGCACTCCCTGATCATCACCTCATCGACTGTTCACAAGTATATTGCAAGACTGCCCCTGAACAAATCCCCCGGAGCTGATAGGAACACCAATGAGATCCTCAGGAAACTGAGCTACTCAATTGCCCGCCCACTCTCCATTCTTTTTAACCTTTCCCTCTCCTCCGGCACATTCCCGTCACGATGGAAGTCAGCCACTGTCATTCCAGTGTACAAAAATAAAGGCGACACGAACAACCCTGATAAGACACAATTTCTGCTACTACGTCGCCCAACTAGTCCCTTACCCACCACTGTGTCCATATCATGCCGCAACTCCACTCTCTATCCTGCGCACACAGCCAAATACCTGGGCCTCATTGTGGATGAGCACTTGGCATTCGATGCTCAAGTAGAGCGAGTTTGCATTGCCGTCAAGCAGAAGGTCGGAGCCTACAAGCATGCCAGGCAGAACCTGAACCACAGAGCGCGTCGTCTTTTCTATCTATCTATTATTCAATCCACCCTTGAGTATGCTAGCTCTGCCTACATTAACTGTCTATCTCACCGTTCATACAACCAGCTGATCACAGCCAGCCGTACTAGTCTTAAAAGAATATTTGCCCTTGACCGCAGAACTCCCACTGAGACCCTGTACGCTTACACCAAGATCTACACACTAGAGCAACGCTTAAATTTCAAGCAATACGTCTTTGTCTTTCGCTGTCTGCATGGTTTATCTAGCCCACTTCTCAGCCTCCTATTCACTCCCCGCTGCACTGGCCCACATTCTGCTGCCACAACTCGGGGCCAAGCTACAGCTGCTCTTGTCTTGCCTGCCTGCCACTCCCGGTATGGTTTCCATTCCATTGCGTATCTTGGTGCCGACAGGTGGAATGCGCTGCCTCCATCTTGTCGCCTGGCCGAGTCGCCTGCTTTGTTTCGCGCTCACACAAAGTCTCATTTAGGGTTCCCAGTAAAAAGGCAACATTGCCTGTTGGGAAATCCCTAACAAAATAAGAAAAGCATCGCTGGCTACAAGCGAGGGTCCCTGGTTCGAGTCCTGGTGGTGACAGTCAATTTTTTCTTCAGACTTTTCCCGTTTGTCTCTTTCCCTCAAAATCAGTCAATAAAATAAGAAAAAATAATAATAATAATAATAATAATAACCCGTCTAAAAACCGACCAATCTCCCTCCTGTCCTGCGTCTCCAAACTGCTAGAGAGAATAGTGTACGACCGCTTTTACGACCATATCTTCTCTCTTCTTCACCCCGCACAATCTGGCGTCCGTCGTAAGGACAACACATCCCTGCAATTGTCCCGCATAATCCAAGACCTCTGCTCCCTAAAAGACCAGCGGCAGGTCTCCTGCATCTGTTTCTTCGACCTCTCCAAGGCCTTCGACACCGTGTGGCACAAGGGCCTGATCGCCAAACTTCGTGCCCATGGTGTCTCCGGCTCCCTACTCGCCTGGATAACTAGATTTTTTACGATGTCGAGAGTGGTTAGCAATTTTTGCGTCGTGCTAAAAGCCCCACCCACGCTGGTGGCGGAGGGCATATGTCTAGCAGCAGCAGCAGTGGAACAGATATTGTACCACCGACACCGAGTCCTGTCAGGATGAATGGCAATAAAGCCAAGGCACCTAGCCCTGCCGAGAGTTTGTGCAGTGTGCAGTGCGAAGCTACGGACCTTTTGCAAGCTGGTGCGAGGAAAGGGATACGCGACGCTCCGGATTGCGGCTTACAACCGGTGGGGAGTATCAATGTATCAATGTATCAATGCAGAAGGTGTTGTTTCGCTTGATTTACTAATCTCGGAATTCAGAAAAACAATGAACGAAGTTCTTGATGATAGAATGGCGGCCATAATTGTTGAAGTTGAAGAATTGAAGAATACATGCAAAGAACTCAAGGAAAGAGCAGAGGTGCTTGAGCACCGCAACTGCAAACTGACATGCACCGTGGAGTCTCTTGGGAGATCCGATGCATCCAGAACGCACCCGCGTACCCGTCACCTGTTGCAGGGCCCCAACTCGACCACACCGTAGGTCTACGGGAAATCGTCCTGGAAGAGCGCCGGCAACATGACCTCCAAGATAACGTGATCATCTCAGGACTTCCGGAGTCCGATGGGGAAAATCTCACCCAGCTTGTGAGCGGGCTGGTGCCCGAAGTGAACCCAACTGCCATTACCGTGAGACGAATCGGGAAGCCCTTGGAGAACAAACGCCGGCTGGTTCACGTTCGAACTGACCCAGGATCAAAAGCTAGGCTTCTGATGCGCCGTTTTGGGCTCAAACATGGTACGCACAGTATCTACATCAATCATGATTTTACAAGGCAGCAGCAAGACACTAGACGACGTGCCTTGCCTACCTTCAAGCAGCTCCGTGCCAAAAGGTACCCTTCCGCTTGACATAATTCTTGTTGAGGGAAAGCCGGTATCCCAGCAGGATATCCAGCGACTTTTGTCAGGTAATTCTTCTGCATAGGACCTACGGGGATCTCCAAAAACCGCATTTAGAGCAATAACACTGTGCACTATTAACTGCTGCAGCCTTATAAGCAAGCAAGCGGAAATCATACAGTTAGTCAAGTCAGAATCGGTCAACATTATCTGCTTGACAGAAACCTGGCTCAAGCCCAATATACCAGATGCGGCTATTGCGATTCCTGGTTACACATTGTACCGTTTTGACCGCGCCAACACATCCCTGCCATGGTCCCAACTTGATGGGGGTGGAGTGGCGCTATTTGTAAAGGAACAATATACCTGCAGTGTTCGACAACAGCCTGGGAATAACAGCTGTGAAATGCTATTGGTTGAGGTAATGCTTCCTGGTAGACCTCTGTTTGTATCTGTTTGGTACAGACCTCCACGACAACCAATTGCTGCAATTACGAATTTATTTAACGAGCTCTCTCATGTATTCGATGACCACAACTGTGTAATGTATTATGTTAGGTGATTTCAATGCAAGAAATTGTGCACGGAAGGACTCTGACGTCACTGACAGTAGTGGTAGAGCACTGGCATTTGTGCAATATGGATTCACGGTTATCAATAAGGATGGTACACGCCCCAATATGCGCAGTGGTTGCACTCCTCTACTTGACATCGTAGCAACCAATATTCCAGATATCATCTCGTCTACCACCACTCTTCCACCCCTGTCAGACCACTGCCCCGTTATCGTTTTTCTTACACTACGTGCACCAACACCACAACGGACAACTCTACTGCATCGAACAATTGATTTTAATAGGCTTTGTTTCCTGATGGAAAGGGAACCATTCCTTGAGCGCCTCTATGGATGTGAAACTGTTGATGCTTCTTGGAAAGCATGGGAATCCCATTTCCTATATTTAGTTGAAAGGTCATCAACCTGGGTGCGTAGGCGTCATTAGCGAAATCAGACATGGGACACACCTGACCTGCGTCACTTTCAGCGGCGACAGAATAGACTGTACCACGCTTATTTGCGAAATCCACAATCAACTGAAGCAAAGGCAGCGTACTGTGTATCCAGGAATATTTATCGTAAGAAAATCAGTGCTGCCAGATCTGCCTTTCTTGATCGCAACGCTGCCAGTATCTCGAAGGGTTGCACGAAAGGTGGATATGCGTGGTGGAGGAGAGTTAAGGACTTTTGCAACATTTCAACTCGTAAACCATTGATACCTGATTTGCAAGATGGCGATCGTCGGACTAACACGCAATTGGAAAAGGTGAACCTTCTTGCACAGCATTTCGCCAATCAGTGTACGTTACCACAAGAAGCAACTCAATTCCCTTGTTTAGATTCCTCCCTTGACACTACCACTCCTCGGTTCCAGATGCCAACA